CGGAGGCAGGCGAACTCGTTCACTACGATGCCGGTCAGGTGCATGTACTAATGTAGGAATAGATTACTTGGAGACAACATCTCTGCACTCCTGATTGGAAGGAAAGGGCTAGCTCTTAGATAGGTTTCTTGCGCATGCATCTTGTACCTGTTTCATAGCACAGGCATTCCTTTTTGCTGTTAATAATATCAAGGTTTCGGGCAAACTTAGTGCGAGGGGATACATAATACATCTATATAATACCCACACGTGTACTCTTTATAGAGTATAAATCCCATCCAAGTCCTCTGTTGTTCTTCATCTCTCTTAATCGATCTCAGCAGCACCTTCTTCTCTAAACCTAACACCTCAACAATAAACCATTCAGAATGCCCATCCCAACTGAGGTTGTAGGGTCTCTTCCCCGCCCAGAGAAACTACAGGCTGTCTTCGCTGCCTGTGATAAAGGAGAAGTAAGAGATATCTCTATATCTGTGATTGGGTCTGTTATGCTAAGTTGAAGTAGGCAAGCATCGAGCAACTTCAAAAAGCTCAAGATGAGGCCTGCAAAGAGTCTATCGAGCTTATGGAGGCAGCCGGTCAGTCAATGGTGACTGATGGAGAGCAGCGTGCTAGTAGTTTTGCTACATATCCTCTCACCGACACCTTGGGTGGCACTGGTCTTGCAGATACTCTGGCTGCTGATGGGCAGTATTTGTAAGCGTTAACCATAATTGCGTATTTATTCTAGCACAAATTACTTATTATTTTACAGTGCTATCTTCGAAGATGGGCACCACCGTCAGCTCCCTCGACTGGTTAAGGGTCCCTTCCGCTACAAGAACTATGCAGCGGATTATCTCAAGAAGTCGCTTGCCTATGCCAAAAACCCCATGAAGCAAGCTGTGATCGCACCGAGCATGTTAAGTCTTCTGTACCCGCTTGATCAAGATTTGCCAGGCTATTCTAGAGAAGATTTCCTCTCAGACCTGGTCGATGAATGTGAGAAGGATATCAGAAAGTGCTTCGAAGGTTTTTTCATCCCTGTCCGTGCCCTAGAAAATTTTCTGACCAAATATTTCATATAGCTGGCGCTCAAAGAGTTTCCGTTGATTTCACTGAAGGTAACATCTCCCCCTTTTTAATTCTCCTTGCGGACTCATGGCTTCTCACTCGCTATAAACACTGTTGTGATTATTATATTCACAATTCTAATTTAGGACGTCTTGCATTGAGAAATGATCCCAGAAATCCCTGGACTGGTCGGAATATGCTCGAATCTTTCATCAAACTAAACAACCGCGTTTTCGATCGCTTTTCTGCGGAGGAGCGCAAGAATATTGGTGTCCACACGTGCCCAGGTGGGGATTGTGACTCAGTTCACAGTATCGATGTTGACTACAGTGAACTGTAATTCTCACCCATTGCAACTATTACTTGACCGGAACTGATTATTTCTTCCGGAGATAGCTTGCCCAGTATGTTCCAGATGAACGCGGGCTACTTCCTGGTTCAGATTGCCAGCGAGACGGATAGAGAAAAGGTCTATAAACTATGCGGAGAACATTCTAGAGAGGATGCAAATGGCGTTCCACAGGTGATGACTCCCCTGAGATCTTTGCCCGCTCGAAGCTAAACATTCATTCTCAAGGTTGTCTTTGTTGGTGTGATCAATCCGCTATCGCCACGCGTCGAGACTGCAGAGGATGTCTGTGAGTCCTTGATGACAGCTTCAAAATATATTCCACCGCACAGGCTTGGTGCCACAGATGATTGTGGGTTCAGCCCGTTTAGCATCGACGTGAAACCCAAGCATGGTGGACCAGACATTGCGAGAGATGTGGCGTTTAAGAAGATCAAGGCGAGAGTTGAGGGCGCGAAGATGGCAAGTGAAAGGCTCGGAATTTGAAATGATATATGCGAATTCGAAGGGCAGACCTCACAAGGTATATGTAGTTATTGGTGTTAGTAATTGTTCTAAATTCAACTTGCTCGTGTATCAGACAAATTAAATGGGTGATACTGTGCATCGTATTTCGGGGAATGTATTTGAGAAGCCCATGTTCACCGATGGCCGAGTCCTGAGTAGGGGCCCCCTAACCTTACATACATGTAGTCATGTGGGCGAAGTGCATGTTAATAACGAAATATCAGAGCATCAATGAATCCTTTAGAGCATCACGAACTTCACCGGAGCAGCCCGATTTCATTTTCTCAACCAGCCATCGACTCAAACTTGTTATCATCCTCAAGCCATTGTAATTGGGTATGGATAAAATAAAACTCAAACGAGCAAAAAGAAAAAGAAAATGGTAACAAATATTCCATCCTGTAAAAATACACCCATCTAACTGCCCATCCAGAAAGAAAAAAAAGAAATAGTAAGTCTTCTATAACAAGCTACAACTCATCCTTCTCCACATTTTTTACCTTCTTTCCCTGATTCAGCGACACACCATTCTTTTTTCGCCATTTTTCAAATACCGCGGCAATGTCCTTCCTCATTCCGCTCTCCATCTCATCGGGCAGTACGACTACATACTCCACCAATAGATCGCCATACTCGTCCATGCCCTCACTCCTATATATGGGCATTCCCTCGCCCTTGACAGCCTCCACAAAACCTGGTTGCACAGTCTGACCCTTCTTCCGTCCGAGTTGGATTTCGTGTCCATCGAGGTGAGTGAGATTTCGTGTCCAGTCCCCAAGCAGCGCCTCTCGGAGCGAGAGCACCTCTTTCCAGAACAGGTCTTTCCCGCGACGACGGAACCAAGTACCATCCGGAATCCCGTCTTCGTACTCGTGCGCTTCGTCTTCGTCGATCTTACCGTCTGCCGTTTTCTCGTGGACGTTCACAATGAGATCACCGGCGATCCATTCAGGGGATTCATCAGCCTCGTTTTCAAACGAAATCCGGATGCCACGAGGAGATCCCTTCTCGACGGAGAGGGTGTGTGTTGTTGTTTTCCGGACGACACGGTTCCCGTGGCACACTTTGCACGGGTGCGCAATGATCTGGCCCTTTCCACTACAGCGGTCGCACCTAGTCTGAACCTGCTGGAAGATGCCGGGGGCAAGCATATGTTTCACTACCCGTACTCCGCGGCCTCCACATTCGTTGCAGCTGTCCATGTGCCCGTCCTGGCTTCCTGACCCGTCGCATTCCTCGCAGATGACTTGCTTCTCGACTGAAAACTCCTTTTCGCAGCCCTTGTAGAAGTCTGCAAGTGGGATATCTACACGGACTTCCATGTTAGGTCCCTTCTGCATCCCACGCTCGCCACCGCCAAAGTGCCCGCTGCCACCGAAGAAACGTGAAAAGAGGTCAAAGGGGTCATGATGCCCGCCGCCGCCGCCGGATTTGTGGCGTTGAAGTCCTTCGGCACCATGCTGATCGTAGATACGGCGGGAGTCGCTGTCGGAGAGTGCTTCGTAGGCTTCGGCGATTTCAACGAACCTCTGATGCGCGGAGGAATCGTTTCTGGACTGGTTTTAGTATGGAAGGGGAACTCTGGCTAGGAGGTAGGGAAAGGGCAACAAACGGGTTCTTGTCTGGATGGAATTTTTTAGAGAGTTTTCGGTATGCGCGTTTTATGTCTCTGTCGTCGGCAGATTTGTCTAGTCCTAATAGCTAATCGCCCGAACGAGGTGTCAGTCAGCTTTCTTGTAGGTACACCCGCTGCCGCGCACAATCCATGTGGATCTCAATGACCAGCCAGAGGCTAGATAATTGACATTTTCCGAACTTTTGACTATCTACATACCTTATAATAATCCTGCGCAAGCACCAGCGGCAGTAGTGCCAACAGCAAAGCTGTTATGAGCCTCATCTAGAATGAGCTTGCTTTCACGAGAGCCGCAATTTAGGAAATTCAATAGTGAGAGAATAATAACGGTTTGGATTTTGACTATTATATGTGGCGTCGGAGGTCGAGAGAATGGGCCGTGTTGGTCAAGATGGTGGGAGATTTGGGAAAGTTTAACGGGACTTGAGGAGACGTGTCGCAAAGCTTGGGTTGCCTTTGAGGCTATGAAGATACCACCGTGTCCCAGACCCACGGTTTCGAGTCACGTGATGCATGATTTACTCGTTTAGGCACAATCGGGGTCATAGATGATCACTCGTCATCCCCACTCTATCACCAAAGGTCTTGGATTAGTTGGGTCGCAGCATTAATGCCTTTAGGTCATAGTTTATTGTGAAGGGCACTTGAAACTTCATCCTAGACTTGAAGTTAATGAGGTCGATGGCGTCAGGCTGTTTAATTAGATATGTAGAATATGATTATATGCACGGCCATTACTGATACTGGGACGTTTTGAAATACTGTGAGTGGTGTAATTATTCGAACTGTATTGTTGTACGTGTTTCTATCCTAAGAAAGGTCTGGCGGGGATGTACGGTACCTAGAGATTTGGTGGTGGGGGTGGGTAGAATCCTTCATAGGTCTCGACCCGGCATGTTCCTCCCTCCTTGCAATCGTCGAATGATCAATCGATTTCATGATTCATCGAATCATATCTTGAGGCCTCCCTCATATTACAACCCTCAAAAGCCAAAATATCATCTTGCAACATTTGTAGGTTAACTACATAAGTACTACATATAGATAAACGCCAAATAAATAAAGTCATTCTGTCTGGTTCGTATCTATTATCGATCCAGTTGATCGAAGATTTACCAGAAGCACCAAGACTGCTCGACATTCTCGTTTTGATGAAGAAAACTAAAGTACCGCCGTTTATCATTTCCCTACATGAAAAAGCCACCAACAGACTTGCTCAAGACAGGGCTAGGGGTGTGAATAAGCTAGGCGAAAAAACTTTAATTGCAAGTGTGTAACCTCAAGATGCACGCCAAGCGCTTGACATGCATGATGCGAAGAAAGAGAAAATTTTGACCTCAAAGAGGTCCGAGAGCTCGCCTGGTATCAACGCACATAGATAGATAAATAAGACGATCATTGGAAGTTTTCCTGGTGTTTTGGGAATATAATTTTGACCACCGTATTTCAATCAGTATGGAGAAACAGATCCCAACATACGATAAGGACCTCGAGGTCTTGCCGGAGCTTGCGAGTCAGAGCCACAATGGTGAAAGCATCGAAGTTGATAAAGCGGAACAGGCTCGAATCCTCAGAAAGGTGGATTTGTATCTCTTGCCGATCATCACATTGCTTTACTTGATGTCTTTTCTGGATCGATCCAGTATTGGAAATGCGAAGATCAGCGGTTTGTCTGCGGACCTGGGCCTGAAGCCGGTTCAGTATAATATTGCGCTCTCGATCTTTTTTATGAGCTATGTATCATTCGAAGTAAGTGATTTCCCCCCAAACTGAATATGTTATGGCTTGACGCACAAACGCTGATTACTATTACTGCTGCACAGATTCCGAGTAACATTCTGCTTAAAAAACTATCTCCAAAAAATTGGCTGCCATCTATTTGTCTTGGTTGGGGAATGTGCGAAAATCCTAATAGTCCATATAAGAGGAAAATTTGCGTCACGAATAGATACTAACTCAATCTTCAATAGTGTCTGTACTTTACACGGGATTGTTCAGAATTTTGGAGGATTGGTCGCAGTGAGAATCTTTTTGGGAGTCTTGGAAGCTGGTTTATTTGTATGTGGTTCTTCTTTCCTTTCCTGATGTGATCGGAGAAACGAAGTGGGGTAGAACAGAGACTCATTTCTACTTATCTCAGCCTGGTGTCACCTTTCTTCTCACAGTCTGGTACGTATACGCCCCTCCTAGTTGTGCCGCTGCCAAATTTTGGCACGGCCCAGTTGTATTTAGCTACAGTGCCGGCTAATACCGCCATGATCTTAGGTACCCTCGTCATGCCCTCGTTTTCCGCTTTTGCCTCTTCTTTAGCGCGGCCACCTTAGCTGGTGCTTTTGGCGGACTGCTAGCTAGAGGGCTTGTCGAACTTGATGGGACTGGAGGCCTAGAAGGGTGGAGGTATGTGCACCCGCTTCTTTAGACGAGAAGCGGAACAGAGGGCGCTAAACCATATTGGGGGTAATTACACAGATGGATCTTTATCGTCGAAGGCCTTATCACTGTAGTTGTTGCAGTCTGCGCCTACTTCTGGATCCAGGACTCACCGGAATCTGCAAGCTTTCTATCAGTGGCCGATAAGAAAGTCCTTGCTTCGATTCTGGCACGTGACATGAGTGGTGAAAGCCAGGAGTTCTCATGGCCCGAAACTCGGGCTGCCTTTGGAGAATGGAAGGTATGGACAAGTGGTATTATATGTGTCGGTATCGCATTGCCGACCTTCTCCTTCGCGCTGTTCATACCGACCATCATAAACGGCCTTGGGTACACTGCTACAAGGTCGCAACTTATGACCGTACCCCCATATGTCGTAGCATTTTTCTTCACAATAAGTGTGGGATGGTTGTCGGATAGGCTGAAAGTCCGCGGTATCCCATTGCTTATATTTACTGCCGTCGGTATCGTTGGATATACCATCCAGATCTCTGTAGACCATCAGAAGCTCAATGTAAAGTACTTCGCAACCTTCCTTTCCGCAATCGGTATATTCACCACCTCCGGCCTCAATATCCCGTGGCTGAGTAATAATCTTCGGGGACACTCAAGGAGAGCCACGGGTAGTGCGATTCAGGTGTCGATAGGCCAGCTGGGTGGGGTTGCTGCAGCTTATATCTATCGCCAGCAGGATTCACCAGATTATGTGATGGGTCATAGTTTGGCGTTAGGGTCCTTGGTATTGGCATTCGTGACTACTGCGCTGCAGTCGTGGTGGATGAAGAAAGAGAATGATGCTCTGGATCGGAAAGCTAGAGAGGAGGGTGTTGATGATGGATTTAGATTCACACTTTAGGTGTATTATCTAGACCTTTATAAATACTTAGTAGATCACAATAGATTAGTAGCATATACGTCAACATATAAATATGAGCTGGGAACTGTCTTTTCTGACTCGGGTAGGGTATTTTTCCAGTTACTATGCAGTTTATGGTCGTTGGAATCATATCATTGACACTGGCCGTGTATCACAACCCATCACCGTACGTGCACAACCCCAAAAATGTATTTTCAACATTTTTTATCTGATACACCTATGGTGCTAATTCGAAAATGTAGTATACCCAAGAGTTCTGAACCAAACATATGGGTATATCTAGCTAGGGAAATAATCTAATAGCATCAGCTCAACCGAACGCACCCAAACCGTAAACTCCCTGCGGCATGACTTTTTCCGAGCGTCTGCTGCGAGACTTATGCCTAATCATCCCTGGAATAAACCGAGGACAAAGGTACCAAATTGCACTTCGCTTTCGTGGAGCAAGTACATCCGGATCTAAATCGGCTCTTTGGCAGCTAACAAAAGATCTGATCTAATCCGAGGGGCTTGGACAGAAACCAACCGTGAGACCTTTTTCAGAATAGAAAAAAAATAAAAATGCGTATATCGCATCCTATTATTCGAGCGAATAGCCTCCATGTATGTAGTGGTACACCCTATAAGAAAACCCGTTATGTCCAGAAATGAATCTCGAAAAGCAGACATTTGTATCCAGTCGACTAAACCGTCGCACAAGAAAGAGTAAGAGTATCAGGTTCTAAAGTTTCGCCTCCTCTTTAACAGTCCCAATTTGTAATTTTTCACTGTACTTCTTAAGCACACCCTCATTATGGTACTAATTCCCCCAAAGTAAGCAATCGTCTAATCCGACACGTTCACGGTAGCTCAAGTTACATACCTTCCAGAACTGCTTGCTAGCATCCTTTCCAGCAACCCGCTTCAGGATTTTGGCGCCCCCCGGATGCTCGTCGACAAACGCTAATGAAATTACAAATCAGAAAATTGCAAACTGGCAAGTATGCATGGACAGGACATACCAGTTACATCATAGACTCCATTGTCGATGACTATGTACATCCCCTTCTCTGCGTCCTTGTGGGCTGCGACATCATTGATGGTGAACTGCTTCATCTCTTTGGACATTTTGTTTGGAAATCCGATGTTTTAGTTGCAGTTCTTGTCACTTGACCGTAAAATCGGATCCAGTTTTAACAAAGGCTGTGGGAGCTTTAAACGAATGCTGGTCTGTAAAACCGTCCATGTTGAACCAACCGTACCGAGGTTGTTGATCTAGTCCCCCGGTCTTGCTCGGTAGTTCAAAGTAACCACTTATGTCCCGGTGCATGTGATTGGCTAAGTAGGTACTCAAAGGTTACCCGGCTGTCGCTTGTTACTGGTTCGAGCAACGACAAGGTAAGAGAAATAAATAATCACCTACAAATAACCCTATTAAGGAGGTCCCAAAATGGAATCTCTTAGATTTTAAGTAGTCTTAAAGTTAACATAAGAAAACGGTAATATTCACACTAGGGTTTAGAAGAAACAGTACGAGTGATAATCTGTGACGCCAAGGTTTCAAGGAAATTTGGGTGATCTGGATATAATAATAATTATTACTACTGTCAACTATACGTAGGCCAGGTAAGTTGGCGCATTACCATGGCCTGATCAGAACATGTGTGAGTGAGTCCGCTCAGATATAGCGGCAAGGGAAAAGGTTCTTCTCAATTCCTCATGGGCGGAGCCCAAGAATTGCAATGATAAGAACCTAGCTTTGCTCTCTCGGATCCACGATTGAGCTGGAGAGAGGAAAATTAGGGGCGGAGTTGTTCCTGCTGCCTGAGGAAAGAAAGACTTGGAGAGTGTGGATAATACAGTCGACTCTCGTTATAGTGATACCCGATATAGTGATAGTCTTCTTATAAGGATGATGGTTGCCGGTCCCCCTTTTTTAGTATGGGGTATTAGTGATATTTCGTTATAAGGATATCATTAGGTATTTAGTGATAAATTGTATGGGTATCCTTATATCAAGAGTAGTCTTGGCGTGGTTCACATAAAAAAATTTCACGGACATCTGGAAAATCATAACCTAACATCAACATGGAGGGGGTAAAGAAAAAGGAAAAGAGACAGTACTTTTCCGAAGCGGAAAAGCAAGCTATATGCGAAAGAAACAATCAAGAATATATACAAAATGGAAAGCGTCCGGGTTGGAGGGAGATTGCCAGCTGGTTCGCTGAGACGCACAATGGTAAAAAAATATCCCAAGCGGGGGTTAGCACAATCCTTTCCAAGCGTTCTGCAGATCTCTTAGGGCAATCACTTTCTGCTCCGCAGGCTGTCAGCAAGAGGAGGAGAGCTGTATACTGGCCTAAACTAGACGATGCCCTTTTTGAATGGCACATGCGCATGCAAGGTCGTGTAACGATCACCGGGCTGGTCATTAAAGAAAAAGCTGCGGAATTTTTTCCTCTGATTTATCCAGGTACGTAGTCACAGTGTCTATGTTGATAACATAGGATATGTACTAACGGGCTTTTATAGGAGAGGAAGCACCTAAATTCTCTGACGGGTGGCTTACAATCTGGAAAAAGAGGCATTCAGTCAAACAGATCGTCCAACATGGGGAGGCGAGTGATGCACTTCGACACCATTGTGTTCTTGCTCTCGATGAAATGAATAGCATACGTCAATTATTAGAAGATTACCACCTACAAGATATTTACAATTTCGACGAAACTGGATATTTCTTCCGAATGCAGCCTGATAGACGGCTCTCTACGACTTCAATGGAGGGTGAAAAAAAAGATAAACTCAGGATTACTGTTGCACTAACGTGCAATGGTACTGGATCTCATAAGCTACCGCCTTGGATTATTGGTAGAGCTGAAAACCCGAGGTGCCTCAAAAATATCAATAGAGACTCTTTAGGTGCTGTCTATCGCTTCAACGAGACAGCCTGGATGAAGCATGATATTATGGTGGAGTATTTGCATTGGTTCGATCGTAAAATGAGAGGACGGAAAGTGGTATTATTGATGGATAATTTTTCAGCCCACGAGTTAGGAGTTAGACTTATTGGAGGTGAAAAAGCATTAGAAAATACTCTAATTGTCTGGCTCCCGGCGAACACTACATCAGTTTGGCAACCGCTCGATCAAGGGATTATACAGGCTTGGAAAGCTCATACGAAACGGCATCAAATAAGACATCTAGTCCGAGAGGTTGAAAGAACACCTGAGGGAGGAAAGATACCTAAAGCAACACTTTTACAAGCTATCCGTTGGGCTGTGGAGGCATGGAATACCGACCTTAAACCATCTACTATCTTCAACTGTTTTACAAAAAGCACCGTCAAATTTTTCGGTCCTATTCAACTACGACATGAAGGAGACAACCCTGAACCACTGTTGAACGTAGAAGGGGCGGAAATTGAAGCTATTATAGCGGAAGTACAACAGGATATGGAATTCCTACAAGGGGTGAATCATTTACCTCTCGGAGATGATATTAACCTTGATGAATTTTTCAATCCAATTGAAGAACGGGTGGATGATGAGTTGAATCAAATAGAGGTAAAAAATACTCGGCAGCTACTAGTAATTCTTTATCTAACATTTATATTAGCCTAGCATCTTGAACCATTATCTCCCAGTCAACAAGGAGGAGCAACTAATTTGGGAGGAAGCCGACTCGGATGAGCCTGAAAAGCCTGAAGAAATACCTCAGCTCAAAGTCACAACACCCGCTGCCTTTGAACACCTCAAACAACTAGAGCTTTACTTCTTGCAATCTGAGGACTCTGATTCGGTCTCAGCTGTCTTAACTGGGCTAACCAATGCGAGAAGGGTGTTGGAAGATAAAAGAAAAGAGCAACTGTTACGGCAACCTCAGCAAAAACTCACAGACTTTTTTTCACCTACCAACCGGGTCTTTTCCCATCCCTAGTAGCTAGTTAGAAATTTAATTACATTTTCGAAAAAACCTAACCCTGTACTTGTTAAAGTGATACTCTCTTTATAAGGATGCCACTTCCCGGTCCCGACCTCATCACTGTAACGAGAGTCGACTGTAAGGGTGTTTATATGGTCGATAAGAACATGTACGCGAGGTTTGCACAAGCCCAGATTTCTACCGAAACGTAATGGAGTTAGATAAATTAACCCTATAGTACTAGTACATGTAGTTATAGCCAATCCTGACAAAATTTAACTAAATACACCATCTACCGCAGCTCCGGTAGTGCACTTAGTAGCACGCCCGTCCGTAACGATAATCACCGCCTTCATTGGCCGAGAGAAATCCTGAATATTGGGATTTTCGGGGGTTTAATTCCTCAACGGGGCGTTGTTTTTGGTTTTGGTGGAAGGCTGGGGTTGGGGACGTTTCGGGGGGGGGGGGGGGGCGGGGGGCTGGGTTTGAGGGTGCTTTTTGAGTTAATTATTTTTTTGAGATTCGAGAGCTTTTCCTTTGAGGGGAGAAGGGTCTAAGGCTTGGTTACTAGCTATCTCTACATTTACGTATATTATACATGTAGCTAGTCAGAAGGGTATCCACATAACACGTTATCGGTTGCTAGCTTTGAGTAAGCTACCATGGCCATACTTCGATCATGGCGCCGTGTGAAATAACTAACCTTAGCTACAGCCACTCAGCAAAAGTGTTCGTGATTTAGTTTTAATGTCAGTGCGCAGTGTGGCGCACCCGTAATGTTGATGTTATTAAAGTTGAAATTCAAAACAAGGAAAAATATATAATATAGTTCGTGACTATATATAAAAAAAGATAGGTCATTGATCTTATTCTTCATTGATTCCTGGCGCCATTGATCACCGGGAAAGTCTTCTCTTGGGGTTTTTTTTTGATGGTCCGCCACGGTTACCTATGGAGAAATGTCTCACTCCGAAATCGGAATCACGAACACTTTTGCAGAGTGGCTGTACATACCGTACCTAATTATAATTCATCTCCCTCAGATATTTCTCTACGCAAAATCCATCACAAACCCAAGAAAAGCAGATATTTGCCAGGCTGGCTGTAAGTTGTCCGCTCCAGTGTTTTGATACCTGATTCCTAGAGAAATCCAGGGTTAACTGGGGTAGCTATTCTCCAGAAACTCGCTTTGCAATCATTATCTACCGAAACATAAATTGAAATTGAGGTGCATGAAATGAATACTTTATTAACTAAACCTGTGAAATACAGTTCTAGTCTCGTTAATAGGTTCTCTCCGCTCGCGGACAGCTAGGAAGAGGGTTGTATAAAACCTTTGATATGACGTCGACTAGTTACGTTGTCTAATTTACTGTATATGCGCTAGTTTCTAGGTTCATCGATCGGGTACTTAAGTATGTGTAGGCATATATCTATTTGATAGCCGGAGCCACGCATAGATTTCTGGCAGCTCTCGGGCGTACACATATACCAAAGTTTCTGAACAATTACATGAATTATAGGATGTACTTGTACGTTATATATCTGCTCCAGCTATGATTATATGGGTTTTAGAACCCTATAGTACCATTCCATATCCAGAAACACCAATGCCTAACCGTGCTACCGCTATCAAATAGGTTGGCGGTTGCATATGCTTAGAAGTTATCAATTCTGACAATGGGAAGTTGGTTAAAAGTGCTGTTTAGTTGAGCGGATACGTTCGGCTACCAGCCTTAGTTCACGATAATTGTATTTAGATTAGCCAATGATGACAAGGTTAATTGTCGTAATATAACACGAGAACCTTTTTTACGGGGAAAGATCTCTTCCACTAGAACATCTTATCTATCGAACGTCCGTGACGCAATTAAGCCTTTTGGTCAAAGAGCCTGGTATTTTGTCTATAGTATTACAATTAATACGGCCGGCACCCGCGGGCGAAACAAGTTTCCGTGATCTTGAATGCATATATAGTAATTAGCAATAACTGCCCCAAGTTAGTTGACCAGCTGGAAAAAGTGGACTATCGAGATTCATACTGGCCTAAGGAATAGTTTCATCTATCTTTAGCTTTCTAATAATAAATACATTTATTCCTACCATATCTGTTGTGATTGTGGAGTTATATTTGTGTCAATCTCAAGTGCTTAAGCCTCAAAGGTGATTTCGAAGACAACCCCATGGCCAGTACTACATGTAGTATCAACATCATTATATGTGAGTCAGCAAGTCTGTGCGGGCGTACCAACGCACGCATTGCTTTGTAAGTTTTCAGCTCTGAGGATTCATGAGATACGTATGCTTGATTGGTTATAAGTCGGCCGATCGGTCCCCGTACGTACGTCGATATATATGGACGTCAGAGAACATATATAATTGCATTTAAGTGTAATTAGATAGAATAATGCGCTCAAAGAGAGACCTCGGAAGGACCTAAGTGAGCTGCAGGAAAACCTAGAGGAAGAAGAAATGGGATGTTGATAGCTTTCTGTATTAAGGCCTAGGTATCTTCATACGACTGAACATTACTTGGTAATTCTTTGTCTCAGGGCCTCTAGCAGCTTATGCATTCGATATCTAACCATGGTTTCAATATATGTGAAGCATGCACGCGCCTGCACACCGATCTTTCCGAGACTGGGCTCATGTATTATGTATTTCCCAACTCGAGCGGTGTATCTGTTCAAATAAACTTTCAAGTTGTAACTGTGTGCTTTAGTGTAGTCGCGCACATATGTAATGTCCCGGGCGATTGGCGAATGCTTCGGATTCGCGAATGGAGTACGGCCTCATACATATGTGGCTGGATCAGCCTATTCGCGAACAACCCGGACAAAATATAGTTTTAGTAGAAAACATCACCAACAACTAAAGTCAATGATTTAGGTCAACCTCCAATAATCTCTGTAGCCTTGGGGGCCTCCAGATCTGCGGCCTCCGGGGGGCTCGGGGAGCCCACCCACATCAATAATTGGCGCCTCTGCGACGCCTGCAACCTTCAGCAACCTCAATGACACATTAGCATCCCCCCACGTGCACGACTATTAATAGGCCCTGCAACCTCCATTAGTGCCCAAAATCATTGGTAGATAGGTTTCAAAACTACGTTTTACTACCCTTTGACCAGTCCATTCGTTAATGAACCGGTCCGCGGTCCGTCTCAGACGTATGGAATAGGCAGTCCATCCGCGAATTCGAGATATTCGCCAGTCGCCCGGAACACCCACAGGGTCCTCCCGGTGGTTAGACGGACTTTCAATGTTTGATTTTACTGGGACATACCCGAAAGATTCTCTATCGCTGTTATGTACCAGTGTTTATCGACACACCAAACAATTCTGCCAAGCTCAAGCTGGGGAACAAAATGAGTTTTAAGCGTCAGTTATTGTAGGATGTATAACGCCTTGGCACGTGAGTCGAGACGGTATGCATGGAGGCCATACATACATGATACAGGGGGTATTTGACTTACCATAGTATTTTAGGGATCCGGAGTTAACTTGCAATTGCTCATCACGGAGCAGTTCAAATTTCAAGATTATCTCTAGACTCTTATAATTACCTCCCTTATCCTAGGCCTCTTAATATATCGCAAGAGCTCTTCTCGTTTGTGTGGGACTCATGTATTTAGCTTTCATCTGGAAAGTCTTGGCATGTTTGTTCTATCATCTCTGCAAGAGAGATATATGTAGTGTCATAGTCGTGGATAAAACATTGCACAATTCGATTGCATTTGAATTTCCTAGCTTCAACGTAAAAGCGCCAATATTGATCATGGGGCTCTCTAGGCGTAGGTGAAGTCGTGTGGCTTACGCATGTCGCCCGGGTAACTCCAGGATGTTGTGAAACTCAACACCTTGAGTACATAGCTTGCAATTGTCAAGCTGTCAAGTTTCGAGCTCATCATAGGATATGCTTGAAGTTTAGTCGTTTTACTTACGAATCATCGAAAACTACATCCTGGACTGGTTTGGTACGTGCTGCTTATCAAACGATACCATTAAACTCATACATCTCTGAAAGTTAAGCTTATGTCTTGTGTGTGTGAATATATGAGGTCATAGCTGATATTTATAATATTTCCAGAAATCTGCCGAAGTTTGGCAGAACTTATCACTGACACAAAACATGGAACATTCAGTAAAGATTCCACTTGTAGCAACGCTATTGGTTCACTTGGATGCTAATTTAGAACCAATTAACCTGAAAGCTTTACCCCCCCAGGAAATCACCATTCGAGCGTGTCTTAAGTCATTTCCCATTTGTTGATGGTCTCCTCGCTCAATTGACTACGGTGGAACTTCTCCGCCTTACCAATGTCTCACAGACAGCTCGCACACAAATTTACGGCCACACACCCTCGTTTCGTGTTTTTAACTTTGTCCGCTTTTGCCAAGAGGGGGACCACCGTGCTCTTCCTAACCTCTGGCCCCATAACGCAACAAACAAGCTGCGTGATTGGGAATACGACAGTAGTGTTAAAAAATATCCATACATCGATGTGAATGAATGGGAATGCAATTGCAAGGCTTGTCGTTATTACAGCCATTTGGAGTATTGTAGGGGTGATCCCTTACTCGGGCAGGCACGCCTTCGGACCGAATATTATTACAGAGGTCTTAACTCTACTAAGCTTCTTTCAACTCTCAGAAGATTACCGGATAGTATGCCACTGACTATACTCATACTTGATGGCACTGATGTGGATATGTGTTTTGTGGAAGAATGCTTTAAGACAACATGGGGTGGTGCTTGGTTGAAAGAGTTGAGTTTGAGGAAGTGTGCAAAAATCGAACACTTCGATCTCCTGGAATGGCTTGGACCCGCCTTTTATAGAAACGTGATTCATGGATTGCGAGTTTTGAAGGTATGTTTCTCATGTGTTTGTCTTAGGACATTTATGCACTCTTTTATTATAAGATAAAGACTCATAATAAAGATTATACTTTTGTACACCACTGACTGTATCTTAGCTTTGGGGTTGTGGCACATTATCTCCAAAGGGGGCCTTTAAACCTTCATTGGCCACTGGGAATTCTTCTGGGAATCAGGTAAATGCCGATGCTGTAAATCTACCACAAAACGATCTTTCCGGCAGCAGCCCAGATGCGCAAACGCCTATCAACACTGAAGCCGCGGCCGCACCCCCGAGCTCGGGGAGGGCCAATCATGCAACCCTCTCTCTCACTTCGTTATGTCGTCGAATGAAGATAAACCTCGATATTGGACTTTGTACGATGAAGCAACAGTGTGTCAGTCTACAAGCCATTGAACGTGCATACGCTGCCCAAGACATACTTGATGCTATAGGCGGTGTCATGGGTATTCCACCGCATGTGAGGGATAACCAGCTGGCCGATTTGGTTGTACTCGCTGAAAAGAAGCCAATAAAGAGGAAGTGCTGCGTGACAGGATGCAACGTGGTTATAGTAAGTTTAAGCTCTCTTCTCGCTTAACATTACTAGTTGCCATTTTATAGTGAAAGTCTCAATCATAGTGCTTGCGTGGGGTTTAACGGGGTCCAGGAGGCGGGATCGCGGGAGGATATATCATAATTTTCCGGAACAAAAAAAAGATTACTGACGAATACTAAATAGGTGAAGGCCCTGTGTATGAGCTGTGAGGAAAACATGACCTGTCAGAAGTGTCAGAAGTATGTGGAGTCCGCCTACATACCCTCTTTCCCCAAATAAACCTACATAATTTGTGTGACCTTCACGTCATGTACCCCGCAAATTATTCGGTTTCCCGGTCTATATAATCAACTTAGTTTTATCACTTGGACTGACTTTCACCTGATAGCTTCTATTGCCAACACCACGCTTCGAGTGAATACCTGGATTTGCTCTGCCCTATCTGTGGGCCCTGCTGCAAAAACTGCTTCCCTACGTATTCGACCGAATGCAGTGAATGCGACCAGCATTTCTGCAACGAGCATTATCCTAATGGGAGGTGTTTGATTGAATTGGATACTGTCACAGGGGATCTTTTACTTATAGATGAAAGCGAGGTTATTGCGGAGGAGAAAATGGTCGAAGACGGGCAAATAGAATACCAGGACCTATTTCCTGGACGAGGGCGTAAGAGATATGAAAAGTGTAAGGATTGTGGAGTGATAACCTGCCGGGAATGTATCGATGAGGCCGGCTGGCAATACTCCATTTGTAAAACCGTCTTTGGTCTGGGCTGTGGGGGAATAATCTGCGAAGAATGTTCAAATCATTGTGGGTTTTGCGGCGCGGTAGGCTGCGAATCTTGTATGACGGTCGATCCGAGAGGTATTGTTGCTATCTATCTTCTACCTTTCGTTATATCTTGGTGGTGTTGGATGTGTGCTAAGTCAATAGGTGACTTCTACTTCGACGACGTCTGGCCATGCCGTGGGTGTGCCATACCACCAGAAGTAGCTCAAGAAGAGGCACGTCAGTTGATAGGTGATTGCGGCGTTCCAGGTCTCGTTGATACAGATAAGGATAATTTTTCGAATGTGGATAGGACGATTGATTCAGACAAGGAAGATCTTGAGGACCCCGATATGGTACCGGAGTTAGTTGATCCAGACCAGGATGGTTATTAGGAATGAAGATGATGCATGTAACTATGTACCTCCAAACTATCACGATAGATATAAGACAAAAAACGACCTACCAATGTAGACCCAAAAAGGACTGAGCACAGAAGGAAAGGGAAAAGAAGGGAAAAAATGAAACGAAATGTGAAATAGTGGAATGTGAGGCAATTACCACTATCTCCTATTATCTAACCAGTCTCTAATGCACATATCACGGTTACTGCCATTTGTGTACTACCTACGATGGTTACTGAGATGATAACAAAGACAGCTTCATTTTCTTCTATGTCTATTTTAAATGGACAGCTATTAGAAGCTTATCTACAAATGAGTGCACCTTTAGATGATCTTTATCGAGATGCGCGTTTTGATCTATATGATTACCTAGATTTGACCAGTCTTTTCAGCACATTCGTCGACCAGAGATTTATTATCCATACTGGAATAACGGTTGTGTACATGTAGTTTTCTCGCTACTTTCGGTGCTGTAAATACCGATTATCATTGATGATGCGTTTGGAGTGTCGTTCTTAATAATCCTTTCTCAATTCATTTCCTTGCTTGCTGGAAATACTGGATTGGTTGGCTGCATGTCTAGAACCATGGATGATAAATTGTCCCATAGGTCACGTTGGTAGTGATAGATTATACTGATGTTTGTAATCAGCTACACTGCGGGGTACTTTCTCGTGTAAGACAGCTACATGTAGCTGCTATGGTTCCTTGTTATTTCAAAAGACATGAAATTAGATTCTTTTCATATTTACTGTCTTTGTTTTACAAAATCATCGGTTAAAGACGACAGGCTACAGATGATCTTGCCGTTTGCCGTTGTCACAATGCATACCACGGGGTTCAAGGTTGAGGCTCATATGTTGTCGTACAATGACATCCAAAATGGAGATAGTTGTCAGTCATGTGTACTCAAAGTACATTGTGTTATCCGAATCAACCCTCTTTATCACGATTCTCCATACTGCTACTCGATATGGGCTTTGATTCCATCTACTACCTAATTGTAGAAAGAGGTCAGTGGCCGGTATACCTTGTAGAATAGAACTGCCGACGAGTTAGGTCCGAACTCATGGCTTGGATAACGAACGGCAGTTGAGTAAGCCGTGGATCGTTTGACGTTTTTATCTTCTTCCTCTTTCTTTTTCTTTTTCCTTTTCTTTTTCTTTTTCTTTTTCTTTTCTTTTTTTTTTTGAATTCATGCAGTGCACACGATTTGTTCCGAGCTAAAAAGAAGCGCCGGCCCCGATCCCGAACCTGGAGTCTTGCGCATATTGCCATCACCCCCACCATCACTTCCGCCTAGATGCGAGATGCAGTATGTACGCGCAATGACGATGTGCATGCTGCAGCAAATCCGTGCAGAAGACGGGCTGAACGGGATCCCGTTGGCTTGGAATCATGTATGGTGACAGGCAAACAACTTGAGAAGTTCGAGACAGAGGCCTAGGAACGAAGCTGTAGAGGAGTATTGAGAGAAGAGGCGAGAGGTTATGCATCGGATCGTGATACGAGATGTACGGCGAAGAGGCCGTTTGCACTTTGCTGTAGAGAGGACATTTGTAGGTAAGTATTTACTTAGGGGGGTACAAAATGCGCAGTGAGTATCATAATCTTGTGATAGGCCTACCTATCACCCTGTCCATCTCCACAACACCCCCGACGTGTGAAGAGCTACCTCCTTACCTACTGGACTCAATCGTGTCCCGAACCCCGTCGCAAACGGCAATCAAAGAGGGGGAGGGGCGGACTTGGTGATCACTAGGGTTAACTTTCCAATCAATAATGAATCATCATCAGCGCCACCCCTCGAGACCTAGGATTTTTGTGTAGGCCTACGGATGAACATGGGGAGAACAGACAGGGACCAATCTTTATCATCGCCGGAACCCGCGACAAGCTCTCGTACCTGGGCTTATGTCTCAAGCGAGTGCCGCGGTTATGTGAGGCCATCTTCATCTTCAATAACGTGCGTAACTGTCATCTTCAGGCCCATCATTTGCTCGCTTGGGTTTTCCATCTAATAGGACCCCACAACCCTGTGAAATCTCCATCGATTTCTGGATCCCTTGTCCAATTCTAGATCGGGACCCATCTATCTTGGTCCTGCATACTAGAGGAGGCTTTATTAAGACATCACCCATGGCTCTGGCAAGGCTGTACCAATGCCTGTAGCCCGCTCCTCATTTTTTCAACCCCCGTCTAGAGTCACTAGTCAGATTTTCTGAAATGTTTGCTGCACAAGAGGTAGTTTCCTCTCAATCCAACAGATTCTTATCTAGCCTAGAAAGTTACTTGACATTAATTCGAACAGACGAGTAGAAGCTACAGGAAACCTCCAATTTCGATTTCACCGCAGTTGTTACACCTCGCACGTACCTGCATCTTTACTCACCATAAGTACTGGTACGGCGCCCCAGGATCATTTCCTACCAACAGAAATAATCGTACATTTCCAATTTACAATAATTCCAGGGTTCAAGCTCGGACGAATCTAGACATTAACAGAAAACCTACTTTGGAAAGTCGGATATCATACACATCCGTCAACTATTATCAAACTCTCTCCCGCGTACACTTGACGTCTCGGTATATTCAAAAGAGCAATAAAAAGTGTAAATCGTATACTGTCATTAGAAACTACGTTTCTGGCATTCAACACCGAATAAAGGCCCCCACAAGGCAATTGGCTTTTATCTTTCTCAGTTGGCCAATTGGATTAGACTATTGGTGAGTAAAATATGGCACATTATCTCTATCTCATTCTACATCTATCTTCACCTAATATATCTGTTTTCGCTTGGAATCCCTCTGTTTGACCTTCGCTTCAATTGCTGCTGTTGTTGTGTCGTTGCCTCAATGAGGCACATGTTGCATCTCCCAAAGGGTCAATAATAATTATTCACTCATGCTCAGTCTTGTTATTACTTTCATTATCACCTGACGGCTCATAATGCAGCTTCTCCACCACCACACTTACATGAGTTTCACAACTAACCGGGTTCGAGGAACCGTAGTTGGCTCTTTGCACACGCCAATAAGCCGCATCGTGTTGCACAAGCACACACTCACAATCCCTCCTGTTCGCACCTCGTTTCGCTCACGTATTCCGCATTTACACCCACTTCAGCCCGGACGGCTACCAACATTAGATTAGTTTCTTTTTTGTGTTCAGCCCTCACCGGTATCTCAGGTCAATCATTGCCAGTAGTGAAGGAGTTTAGTAGGTTGAGTGAGTTATCAGAGTGTGGGGTAGTTGATTATTCCCTTTTGCCCGTGGAAGTGAGAAGTTTATAAAGAGAGTCATCTGGCCTCTGAACTTTTTGAATTCAAGGGGAAATATTCGGTATCTTATCAGATCTCTGCATCGATTTACAAGTAAATTGCTCCACGCTTTTCATCTGTTCGTTAGGCGTTTACTAATTTGCGAATCTTTTCCTGTTAAAGTTAGCTTCCGCACTTTAGAGTATTCGATCATTTGGCCCTAACGATCTTGCCTTCCGCCATTTTTCTCCGCGAAATTTATCAGGAAGCAAAGGTTTCATGAATAACTTGCGATCTAATACGGAATTCTTCCGCAATCTTCGGAATAAGGAAGCTCATTTATCATTCTCTCCTACAAAGCTTTCTGCGATGGTACCAGCACTCCCAATAACGCCACCCGCAATGGAAGCAGATCCGGAGGTGGAGCGTATTCTTGCCACAGCTGTGCACGTATTGTCTACTGAGGCCACAGCCTTGTCTTACCTCTCACGACTTTATGCCACAGATCCCATATCTCGTGGTGGTTTTGTCAAGGCTGTCGAGGCAATTGCTGCATCCAACATGAATGATGGCAAGACAATCATCATTGGAGTTGGTAAAAGTGGAAAGATTGGGGAGAAGTTAGTAGCAACAATGAATTCTTTGGGTTTATCAGCAAGCTTTATGCACCCCATCGAGGCTCTTCATGGGGATCTTGGAATGGTCAAGCCGGTGAGTTCAATATTCTACTTTAAGTAAACCTTTATTTCCTTTCTCTTTTGTGCACCATGCAGGGATATTACAGGTTGTTGTTGGATTCACAACCCCCCTTCTCCGTGTTTTCTTTAAGGCTTCCACTCAATTTCCTGTTTTGTGGTTGCACCAGAATATATTATGCTGTGGTACCCAGATTCGTGCTGTCAATATGCGAATGTCTATTACCCGCCCTTGCCGATTCTGCGATCCGAGACAGGCAAGGCGGGGTAGTTCATATATACATAATTATAATAACCGTGAAATTATGATTTAGCTAATATCTATCATCTCGTATAGAAAGATGTCCTGCTTCTCATCACTTTTTCGGGTAACACTCCGGAATTACTTTCGCTGCTACCACATTTACCAAAACACCTTCCCTTGATTGCACTCACTTCTCATACGTCATATCATACCTCCCAGATTACTCGGGGACGTCCAGGTGCCATTCTACTACCTGCGCCTATACCGGAGCCTGAGACTGTGAGCTTTGGAATATCTGCGCCAACTACATCGACGACGGTATCTCTCGCGCTCGGTGATGCTCTTGCTGTTGCCTGCGCTAGACAACTCTACAACCATGACGGCAACATGCCAGCCGATGTTTTCAGACGAAATCACCCTGGTGGAGCCATTGGACTCGGAACCGGTAAAGGTGTCATCCGAATGTCAGACTTGGCCACTCGACTGGACGAAATTCCAGTTATCCCGTGCGGGTCAAGGGCCTTGGATTCACCACCAATCTCATCCTCTAGCTCGGAATCGGATCTAGAAGTCACGGAGTGGAGAGTTGCCCCACTTTCTATCAGGGTAGTTGACTGCCTTATTGCCGCTGTGGGATCGAAATCAGGGTGGGTTAAGATCTCCCTCGACGAAATCATACCGCCTGGGAGATTACAAAGAGTCAGAGGAAATGTACACGTTGACGTATACGACCCGCATCTGGCACTTGTTGTCAGTACCAACGAGACTGTTAAAGTTTCCGGCGATTCAAGTGTTGATGACATACGGAAATGGATCATTGCCTCCCGGGATGAAAGGCATGATCCGATGTTGCAAGATGGCGCAGTTCTGGGAGTTGTTGTTGGCGGCGAAGTAATGGGTGTGGTAGAGATTGATGAGCTGATGAGGAAGTAACTTGTTTGAGTTTGTTATCGGTGATCTTTTCATTTCTTATGTTCTACATCTTCTCTCTCTTTTTTAGTGGTAAACGTACGTTTGCTGCGGGAGGTTTGTCATTGGTTATTTTGTACTCCTTTTGTTGGGTTGGCTTTGTCTTTGGTTGGGTTTCTTATTTTTTGAGTTATTGCTCGTTGTACGGGTGGTTTGTTATTGATCATTGGTTTTTGGTCCTTTTTTTTGATTTTTTTACGAGTTTTATTATGCGTGGTTTTTCCTCAAGAGCGATTAAGCGTGTAAGCAAGACTTCAAAGCAATGGCAGCACATCTCAAATTATTGCGATAACATAAACCTTCCTGAATAGTACGAGAGAGAACTTTCGTTGTCCATTTACGATATCTTTTAGCTGCCTGCTATGATTAGTCTAATAGCCTAGGTATATATTGTACGTCGTTGGCATTATTATTATATATTTGTTTTTCCGCCGCCAATACCCACCGGACCGAGGGGATGGGGGTAGTGGTAGTGGAGATCTGCTACATACGTTACTAATCGATCGCCCCAAATCGCTGCGCATGCCACAAATCTCAGGTCTGAGCCAACTCGGTAGGTGGTAGAAATCCCATACCATGAATCTCCCCCATGCCACGCCATGCCACCCACTGCCGTTAACGAGAAACAAGGCGCAGACAGCAAGATTGTTGTTGGCATACATAAACGGTGGTGGGTGGTGTCACCGCTAACCCACTTGACTTACCCGCAACGCAACGCGTTCCTGCAGGGCCCATCCCATCCCATCTGTGCTGTGCTGCATATCTGGCGGCGGCGCTAGCTAGGTACTTAGCGAGGGCTGCATGACGGCGGCGGCCTGGGGGGGGGGGGGGGCCTCTGAAAAGGGAAGTTCTTATCGATATCATCGTGTCAACGTGGGGATCTGAGTCTGGTGGGTAGTTGGGGGCGTTGTTTCTACCGAGCAAATGTTTGGGGCTTGTTTTAAAGTGCCGGAATGGTGGGGAGGGGAGGGGAAGCGGGGCGGTTGGATGGGAGCGTTAATTGGTATCCCGGTGTGTTGGTGCGGACGTCGTCATGGGAGATCACTCGGTGTAAAGCTACATGTAGCTTGTTGTATATTCTGAAAATAGTTACATTTAGGTTTGGGAGTTTTAAGGTGTACCTGCTTTTAGTTAGAGGAAAGGGGGAGTCCATGCGGCTTATCGCTACCGTGAATCATATAGTACAAGATTACCGAGCAAGGCGTTTGAGTGTTGAATCTATTGCCTTGTACAATTGTAGAAAGTTATGGATGTGCTGTGTACATGCGTATGGTGGAAGGTCGATGCTTTTTTCTGGTGTAGGTTTTAGGTTTGGGTCTCCCGGTACCAGTGTTATCTGTGTCAACGCTCGCCGGCGCCACATGAGTGCATCTCTATCTCTCTAGGCTATCAACATTGCAGTGGGTTTAAGGTTTGGCCCCCAGATCTATGGATGGGGCACCGACGTTCGTCTACCTGGTATCGGTGATGAGAGATAGCGGATAGAGCTGGTTCTTGTGGTTAGTAGGTAGACTAATCCTTGATGCAGGCCGGTGATTGACGCTGAGTTGATACATTAGAAGATGAGAGAGGTACTAATTCGGGAGCAAGAGGGGGGGGTGGATCGCTACATAGGAATGCGCAGATCAGGAATATGATATGTAGAGTGGGCACAAGTAGCTCAGACTCAAGTCCCGAAGAGGTAGTGTGTTTCTGATCGACACATGGTCTTTTCGAAAAGGCCATGGCCACCGAAAGGTCTGGATGGTAGTTAGGGGGTCCCGGAGATCAAGACACAAAGCCAAACGTTTTAGCTTGCTAATATAATTACATCTCTAACTATATGTACTCTTTTATCTCTCAACAACGCTCCTGTCCCCTGGTATCTGAAATGGTAAGTCTAGTCGAGTCTTCCCCACCATTGTTTAGAGAAATTCCCGCTGACTAAACTAGACTGCCATAGCTATGGCCTCCCAAGCAAGCCCCGGAGGTTGAACGAAACATGCCTCCGCTCAAGGAGCCCCACCCTGTGGCTTGAGAAAACAACGGCAGGCAGCGGGGCAGCAGAGGAAAGCTTTCCCCTCCTCCCCCTCCTCCGCCCCCGCCGGCCCCGCCGGCCCCGCCAAGAGCTTATTAGCTACACTGTATTTTCCTCCACATTCTCCCCAACAAGAGCTGGAGATTCACGGTCTTCACCTCTATAGATCTAGGTCTCTTCTCTTTATCTAGGTCTACAGATGCTAGCTATCTATGTACTATGGCGCCGGTCGACGTTAACATATCTTTTCGGCCGTTTGTCCAGACAAAAACAATTTATTGGCACATATAACCTATTTTGGGTACCAATAAAATCACTTATCTGGTGGTATCTGGTTTTATGTGAGTAAACCATAGTTTTCCGGCGGTTTAAATTATAATACCATAGTCAGCTGCGTACTAGCACATCACTCCATACCCCCCCCCCGATCTGTGCACAAACGAGGCTGAATCCTACCTGCTAGAGTCAGGTCATGCCCTCAACCATCCAAAGATATCACGTTACTCGAGTGATACCCCATGACTCACCCGCTCCGGTCATGGACCATGGAGTTCACCTTAACCGCATGACCAGTTAATACTCCCCAATCCCGCATTCTCTATCCTCTCCTGCGAGCCAGTTACGCGCATCCCCGCCTGCGCCAGCCCCGGGAAGAAGCGAACCGTCCCCAGCTTACCTGTGGTATCCGGCCGGCCGCGAGAAATAATATGGACGCCGACGCGACGTACGAGGTGGGATAATAGTCGAGGATAGTTGACTCTCGGATACCCTCGAGTAGTAATATGTTGTCTGTGTTATATCAGGATTTGAAAAACCGGTATACGGTTGAGGTGATGTGGATTGATGCTTGATGTTGGAGATATGTGGGCTGTTGCGTAATTATATACCACTATTTACTAGAACAGCGGGTAGAAATGCAGGGCGGTTTTCGCTTCTTGTTAGATACAATCGGGGAGATTGGGTTCCTACGTTTGATGATTTCCTAGTAAGTATGTAACGAATTCCACGGACCACGGGGGACACGATTATATCAAAAACCGAGGACGGCAAGACAAGGAAGATCAAAAGACACCGTATATAGGAGGTTGCGTACGGAGAGCTATGTCCCCCAACAGCGGCTGAGTATTCGACATAAATCAAATTATACTCTTTACACTGATTCACAAACAATCACTCGGTGATCATCTAATACTTGTATTTGAAACATTTTCGAAATTTGAACCTGATAGACCATCAAATTATATTACATGAATACAAATAATTCAACACAGTGTGTTGAGCTTTTCGGGTCCTCTTGCTGCTCTAGCTCCACTATGTTTGGACATTGAAATACTGCAATTTCCAGAATATCTCATGAACAATTTGGTATACATATAATACATCAAGCCTCTTAGGCAAATTTAAAGCCCAAAGTAAACCGAGTAGAAAAGAAAAATAAAAGAAAAAGAAACACTCCTATGCTCCAAGTCGGCCGAAATCTGTGGTGAAAAGAAAAATAAAATAAAGAAAAGCCTAGACGCCAGAGCCGTTTTAAAGACCCCGTATGCTCCGTAAACTTATGCGATTGTAAATCATAATGAAAGGAAGAAAGGAAGAAAGGGGAAAAGGAGAGAGAAGGCACTCCCGAATAAACAAAGAGAAAGAAAAAAAAAAAGAAGAAAAAGAAAAAGAAAAAACCGCCAAATATGCAAAAGGAAAAACACCGGTTAACTCTAACACCAGACCCAAAACAAAAAGCAAGTACGAATCGTTACTCCCCAATATCAATCTATCTCGGCACCAGCTTCACCGGCATAGTCGCCCCCAAAATCATACCCGTCGGCGCCTTCAACGTCCGTCTCTTCTTTCGAATCGCCTGGCCATGGGATATCCTCTTCGTCCCATTTACCCCCGTTGACGCCCTCTAACTTCAGGGTTAAGCTTGGCTGGACAACGCAGATGCCTTCATTCTGGCAGACCTCCTTGCGGTCGAGATTCTTGAATTTAGGTCCTGTAGGGCCATTGACGTAGTCTGCAGTATCGAAAAAGAAATATTTAGCATACGCGAACGCAAACAGAAGAGGAGGATAAAACCTACGATACTGTCCCGCAACTCTATACTGCCTCCGATCACTCAACGGATAAAACCGATCCCCCCACCTCCCTTCAAAGTGGAACCACTCTACCGGCGCCAACGGCGTCTCCCTACTCGGCGTCAAGATATCGCTCGTCATGTTCCACTTATAGATATACGAATTCTTCGTCACATCCCACAGAGTACCCTTATCCGTGACATCGGCAAGGAGATGGAACGGGATGGCGTAATAATGCACCCCAGGCCTTGCGTAATTCGCATGCGATCCTCGCGCAGAATACGATACCGGCTATTTTCCCACAAATATCAGCGACCGCACCCGCAACATACCCGGGAAGGCTAGAACAAACCCTTAAACCGATTTTCTCGACAGCTTGGTACTCGTATGCAGCGCCGCCGCTGTGCTCGCTATAAAACATCGATTCCGGCTGCCCATTCACAAACCTCACGGCATTATGTTCCCAATCGCCTACATGGTTTCCGAATCTCCAACCCGCCACCTTGTTCCCGAGATTGAAGCTATAGAAGTAGAAATAAAATGCGTCGACAATACCTTCTCCCTTTTCGACCCATATGATGATTCCCGGCGCTGCGCTCATCCCTAGTAGATCGTCGTCGTCGTCGCTTCCCGGGGATATCGGTTTATTGCGGTCGCCACGGAGCCATTCTGGGGGATGTTCGGGGTCGTCGTCGGAGGTTAGGTAGACGTTGGTTCCGAATTGATTTAGTTCCGCGAGGTTTTTAAGAGATTGGTGATTGTTGTAAGATGTGATGGGGGAGTAGTTGAGATAAGGAATGGTGTGTCGGAGGCTGCACAAAATCAGTGATAGGAACATAGGACATGCACATATGAGGACGACATACTGTTCGCCA